ATGGGTCCAAGGGGCTACTTCACGCAAGCAAGCCTGTCTCGCTTCCTGGAGTTTAGCAGCTCTTCTGACACGTGCCTGCGCGCGGTTTTGCGCGATGCGCTCCAAGACTTCAAGTGCTAGCGGCACAGGGACGGGCGGGAGGGATCTGTTGCCCTCTGCGAGTCACCAAGAAAAGAACGTGCATCTACAGACTCCTGCTCCTCATCAGCCTCCGGTGGGCCTGTAGGTCTAGCCTCCGCCATGTCGTCGCGAACCTGTGAGGTGGAAGCGGTAAGCTCCTCCGATGTCGGGGGGACGTGTAGAGGTCGTACGCTATCGAACTCGGGGTCCTGTCGGACACGGCGCGTGCGCCGAGAGACGAAGACAGGAGCCCATCCCTCGTCTGTGCCAGAGTAGGGGTCCCAGGAGACAAGGAAGCGTAGTAGTCCATCACGTACTCTACCATCCTCCCCCATGTCATCCGGAACAACGGGCTCAATACTGTCCACTTCCCCTTCCCACATGGTACGCACTGCATTAGCGGTGGCAACAGCGATACACTTGCACAGGCCGGCGGGGTACGTCTTCTTTTTGGCTGTGGGCCACACCCTCCTATCCCGATCATACCCAAGAAGCGTTTCGTGTCCGTCCCTACCGTGCGAACATCTGCCGTTTTCAGGGGTCGCAAGCAGGGCGGCGTGCAGCCCTGGCAGTCTAAGTGCAACGATCCTAGTGGGGGCCCTTGACGTCTGACCATGTTCACACTGATCAAAATCAGTCGTCGAGACTGCTGGGGACGACTGGAGAGCACGCATCGGATGGCAGGTAAACGAGCTGACGGCTTGGAGCCTCCATCCACACGGCTGGGGGTGCTCCAGCCAACACGACGTGCCAGCCTGCGCATGTGCAGCTAAAGGCTCCAGCAAAGCATGGTATAGCGCACTGCCCACCCACAGCTGTTCCACCTGACGCTCAGCAACTCCCGTCTTACCCCAAAATCGGTCATGCGTCCGAAGTGGCGGGGGGGCCTTGGCCTTCTGCCCATCGAGAGGCAGACCAGGTCTCACACGGCGGCCCGCCACCCGACACCACCACCCGTCGTGCAAGGATGCGAAACCTCCATTCTGCGGGTGTGTCCCGATTCATGAGATCCCCGTCCACTGCATGTATGGCTACATCAACAGACAGGACATATATAGCATAGTCTGTGCTGCAATGCGCCCCTTCAACCTGTGCCTGTACATCCGTGAGACGGGGGGGGAGGGAGCGAGAGGGAGGAGCTAGGTCCTGCCATCGTCAACAAATTTGTGGACGCAATCAGCCCACTGCTGTTTGGGCCTCCCACGTCGTCGATTCAGAACCCACCGTCGCGGCTCACACGAGCCCTGCTCGCCAGTCAGAGGCCTCGAATATGTTCCATGAGAGCTCCAAGTAGGACAATCATGGCTGTTGTGTTCAAACTGTGTCCGGTTCGTCGAAAGCGCCCTCCGGCCTGCGGGCCGCAGCCCCTGATCCAGACCTGGAACCTTCCCATAGCTCTCCAAGGCTTCCACAACAGTTGCGAGCCCCCCTGGGGGGGTGGCGCGGGGGCCCAGCGGCTCGAGCCCGGTGAGGGGGGGGGGGGGGACAGGAGGAGGAGGAGGAGGAGGAGGAGGAGGAGGGAGGAGGAGAGGGACGGCCACCAAGGCCGCTAAGATGGCACAGCAGTTCCTCAAGAGGCACCCAGCAGCCCCGAAGAAGCGCCCCGTGGGTCCTTCAAGAGGCCTCCAGAGAGCTCGCGCGCGGGGGGCCTGGGGGGCCTCGACCCCTGGTCCTCGATGCTCGACCCTCGATCCTCGCTCGATCCTCGCTCGATCCTCGATCCTCGATCCTCGATCGATCGATCCTCGACCGATCGATCGTCGATCCTCGATCCTCGATCCTCGATCCTCGATCCTCGATCCTCGATCCTCGATCCTCGATCGACCCCTTCATCGAGGGGGAGGGGGGGGGGGGGTCGGGGTCGCGCGCGGGGGGGCAGGAGGGCGGCGGCCCGCGCCTGCCACTTGCCCAGCAGGGCCCGCGCGCGCATCTGCCCGCGCGGGGGGCGCGGGACGGGAGGGCGGCGACGTCGGGGTGGGGCGGGGGGGGAACGAACGAACGAACGACCACCAATGCGGACAGCAGTCCGGGCCTGCTGGAGGCCAGGTGAATGAGGCCGTGGCCTCTGAAAGATGGGGTGGGGGGGAGGGGGGAGGGGAGGGAGGGGAGGGGCGGGAGGGAGGGATGGGAAGGGAGGGATGGGGCAGGGCGGGCAGGAAGGGGAGGGGGCTCGCGTCATATCTGACGTCCTACCCCTCCCTCCCATACCTTACCATGGCGTAGATATCCTCTCTATTCGCCCAATCGGATGTCGTAGCATGGCATAGCATTACATGGCATAGCATGGTGTTGAAGATCAACGCGTAGCATGACATAGCATGGCGTGGCGACGCCCCAAAGTGAGGGGCTTCTGCGGCCCACAAAATTAGAGAATCGACACCGAATGTGTAATCACTTCCGATGGTTCCTTCTGGAAGCATTTTTAGATGTTGTGGCCTATTTGGAAGGACCGAAAACCATGCCACGGCATGGCACTGGAGATAATGACGACAGCGCTGCAGCGGGAGTGCGATTCGGAACGAGCGGAAGCGCGGAAATGAGGCCAGCGCTGCAGCGGGAGCACGATTCGGAACGAGCGGTAGCCCGAAAATGAGACCGGCGCTTCAGCGAGAGCAGCATTTTCAACAACAACCCAAGCGCGGAAGCGCGGAAATGAGGACGCGTAGCCTGACATAGCATGGGCGTGGCGACGCCCCAAAGTGGGGAGGGGCTTCTGCGGCCCAAAGAATCAACGAATCGGCACCGAATGTGTAATCACTTCGATGGTTCTTTCGGATTTTTTAATTGGGGGACCATTTGGAAGGACCGAAAACCATGCCGTGGCATGGCGCTGGACATAATGACGCCAACGCTGCAGCGGGAGCACGATTCGAAACCAGCGGAAGCGCGGAAATGAGGCCACGCGGAAGCGCGGAAATGAGGACACGTAGCCTGACATAGCATGGCGTGGCGACGCCCCAAAGAGGGGGGCTTCTGCGGCCCAAAATTTAATGAATTGACACCGAATGTGTAATCACTTCCGATTGTGTCTTCAGGTGGCCATTTTCTAGGTTTGGGGGCCTATCTGGAAGAACCGGAAACCATGCCGTGGCATGGCACTGGAGATGATGACGCCAGCGCTACAGCGGGAGCACGATTTGGAACGAGCGGAAGCGCGGAAATGAGGCCAGCGCTGCAGCGGGAACACGATTCGGAACGAGCGGTAGCCCGAAAATGAGGCCAGCGCTTCAGCGAGAGCAGCATGTTGAAAACAAATCCGATCAAAAACCCGTCTCCCAGGAACCCCGTGCGTAAAAAAACAAAACGCGGAGGGGGCCAGCCATTTCCTGGACGCCACCAGGGGAGAGAGGAGAGTAGTCCCACCAGCCCTGTGGGCGTCGGTGGTTTAAGGCGTTTCCTCTTCCACCCCTCCCTCTTCCCCTTCGGGGAGGGGTTTACCCCTCCCCCTACCCCCTCCCCACTGACCTGGACAGGAGGGGCGGGGAGCGGTCAGAGCGTCCAAAACGGCCTCGGCGAGGAAGCCAAAATCATTGAACTTACTATGGTTTTGGCCCCATTTTGGCCTTCTGAGGGGGCAAAGCTAATTAAAGCTCCCCTCTTCTTTGATCGATTTCCTCCACGATGGCCGCAAGAGGCCCCCAGGATGCCCCAAGAGGCCGCAGGATGGCCCCAAGATGGCCCCAAGAGGCCCCCCAAGAGGCCCCCAGGAGGCCCCCAAGAGACCCCCAAGAGGCCCCAAGAGACCCCCCAGAGGCACCCAAGGTGCTCCCAGAGGCCTCGGCGATAATGTCAAACCATTGTTTGCACTAAGGTTTTAGCCACATGTTGGCCTCTTGGGGGGGGCACTGATTAAGATGACTCCAAGAGCGCCTCGGAGAGCCCAAAATGACCTCCAAGATGGCTCAAGAAATCCCAAGATGTCTCATACTGGCTTCCTCTGTGTGCTGTCCACGTCCCTGATCGAGGCAATCCCACCAGCCCTCTGGGCGTCGGTGGTTTAAGGCGTTTCCTCTTCCACCCCTCCCTCTTTCCCGTCGGGGAGGGGTTTACCCCTCCCCCTACCCCCTCCCCGTGGCCCTGGACGGGGGGGCCGCGAGCGGTCAGAGCGTCCAAAACGGCCTCGGCGAGGAAGCCAAAATCATTGATTTTACTAAGATTTTGGCCCCGTTTTGGCCTCCTGAGGGGGCAAAGATGGCCCCAAGAAGCGCCCAGGAGGCCCCCAAAGGCCCCAAGATGGCCCCATGAGGCCCCCAGGAGGCCCCCAGGAGGCCCCAAACAGGATCCCGAACGGCCCACAAAGGCCCCCCCGAGGCACCCAAGACGCCGAAAAGCCCCTCAGGACGACCCTCGACTCGCCTGGGCGTCGTTTCTGGACGGGCTGGTGGGGATACGCGAAGCGTTTCCCCACCAGCCCTCTGGGCGTCGGTGGTTTAGGGCGTTTCCGCTTCCACCCCTCCCTTTTCCCCTTCGGGGAGGGGTTTACCCCTCCCCCTACCCCCTCCCCACTGACCTGGACAGGAGGGGCGGGGAGCGGTCAGAGCGTCCAAGATGGCCCAGGACGGCTCCAAGAGGGCCTCAGAGAGCCCAAGATCGCCTCCAAGATGGCTCAAGATAGCGCAAGATGCCTGAAGATGGTTCAGAAGACGCTCCAACACGTTCCAAGACCGCTCCAAGATGGTTCCAAGTGCCCACAAGAGCATCATTAGAGTGCCCTCAAAAGGCCGAAATGCTTCAAAACCATTCGGACCAATGTTTTTGGTGGTATCATTTTTTCGCTTCCGAAGCCCATCCGAGGCCTCAAGATGGCGCCAAGATGTCCCAACTGGGCCCCAACAGGGGCCCAAGAGAGCCTCAAGACTGCCTCAACAGCGTCCAAGAGCGCTCCAAGAGCGATCCGAGAGGGGTCCAGGAAGCGATTTTAGACAGTCTGGAGGGGCAACGCTAATTAAAGCTCTGCTTTTCTTTGATACATTTGCTCCAAGATGCCCCCCCAGAGCGCCAAGATGTCCCAACTGGGCCCCAACAGGGGCCCAAGAGAGCCTCAAGACTGCCTCAACAGCGTCCAAGAGCGATCCAAGAGGGGCCCAGGAGACGATTTTTGGAGCTCCTGGGGGGCGAGCCAAGTTGAGGGACCCTCCTTCGTTGATCGATCTCCTCCTAAATGGCTCCAAGAGACGTCTTGGACTCTCCTCTTGGGCCCTGCGCGCGGGCGGGCGGAGCGCCGCCCGCCCGCCCGCAAGGCCCAAGAGCCCACCAAACCGTTCGAAGATACCTCCAAGACGCCACCAGGGAGGAGGAAGAGGCGGAGGAAGACGAGGAGGAGGAGGAGGAGGAAGAGGAGGAGAGGGAGGAGGAGAGGAGGAGGAGGGAGAAGGCGGAGGAGAAGGAGGAAGAGGGGGAGAAGAACAGCTGCCGATCATCGGCGCTTTTCGTTCGAGTGCCTGGTGATGGGCTGGTGGGGGTATTATTTTTTACAGCCGCAGGCGGAAGCGCCGGCGGCGAGCAGTCACGGTCGGGCTGCGGCCGCGACTAAATTCCCGGGCGCGCGCGGGAGCCGCGGATCAGGCGGCGAGGGGGCGGCAACCCAGGGCGTCTGAGAGGCCAGGCGGTCGTGCAATCCCAGGGAGTCTGAAAGGTCAGTCACCTGAGGCGGTCGTGCAAGCTGCAACCCAGAGAGTCTGAGGGCCAGTCACCCAGGAGCGAGCCAGGCGCGGCCAAAATGGCGCGCAGTGCGTTCCCGGCCGTGATCGTGTCGAGACAACCGCGAGGTGGTGGGAACGATCTCCGTGCGAGAAAGTCAGTCCAGGGAGTCTGACGGGTATGAGCAGACTGAAACTGGTGACGTCGTCCAGCAAGGAGGGGGATTCTGACAGCGCCAGCGAACCGTCGCAGCATCAGAAAACGCATCCGCGGCGGAAGGGGAAGCCTGAGGCCGAACAGGCAAAGGCGAGACCCGACCCACTGCTGAGGGGCTGGTGGGGATACTTTTTAAAAAAAACAGCCGCAGGCGGAAGCGCCAGCGGCAGGCGGTCACGGTCGGGCTGCGGCCGCGACTAGGGGGGCGGGCGCGCGCGGAGCCGCGGTCAGACGGCAGGCAGCAGCGACCCAGGGCGTCTGAGCCAAGGCGTGCATATCCAGGGAGTCTGCAGGGCAGCCCCTGAAAGGAACATGCAACGGCGCATCCAGGGAGTCTGAACAGGCACCGAGGAAGCCGAGCGCAGCCAAAATGGCGCGCAAGGCGTTCCCAACAGTTCGAGTAAGAACGGGTGGGAAACGGTCCCGAGCGGGACGTCAATCCAGGGAGCCTGACGGGTAGGCACAGACTGCCTGGTGACACAGTCCAGCGGGGAAGCCCTGACGGCGGCAGCGGACCATCGCGACGTCAGAACACGCATCCCGAGAGTGGGACAAAGTAGCCAGGGAAAGAACCTTCCACGACTGAGATGCGCCTGAGCCCTTAACCAGCGACTGGTAAGGGCAAAGCAACGTGCACAAAGCCACACGGTGGAGACACGGGTAGCTGCAGGTGCACCACCAAAGTGACTCAGCGCCACACATACGCGTGTAGAGTAGCACCCGAGGGACGGGACCGTCGTATGCTGGTGGGGATACGCGAAGCGTCAAGAATTTTCAGAGTGTTAAGTTAGGGATGGAGAGAAGGGAGGGGACCAGCGGAGGGGACGCAATACGCAGGACGCGCAGATCCCCCAGCTGGCAGGGGGGCAGGTGGGGGAGAGGGAGGGAGTGCGGGAGGAAGGAGATGAAGGAGGAGGGGCGGGAGAGGGGGGGAAGGGGAAGGAGGAGGGAGGGGCGAGGAGAAGGAGACGGAGAAGGAAGGGAGTCGGGCTACGCTGCCCGAAGAGTCGGGCAGGGTGCAGGCTGGCCTCACGCGGGTCGTCAGAGAAGAAGCGTTTCCTCCTGTTCCTCCTCCTCCTCCTCCTCCTCCTCCTCCTCCTCATCCTCCTCCTTCTCCTCCTCCTCCTTCTCCTCTCTCCTCTCCTCCTCCTCCTCTCCCCTTCTCCTCTCTCGTTCCTCCTCCTCCTCCTGCCCCTCCTGCTCCTCATCCTCATCCTCGTCATCCTCCTCCTCCTCCTCCTCCTCCTCCTCATCATCATCATCATCATTATCATCATCATCCTCATCAGAAATCGTCATCATCATCATCATCGCAGAGCATCATCATTATCATCATCAGCATCATCAGCATCATCATCATCATCATCATCATCATCATCAGCATCATCACATCATCATCATCATCATCATCATCATCATCATCATCATCATCAGCATCAGCATCAGCATCAGCATCAATCATCATCATCATCATCATCATCATCATCATCATCCATCATCAGCATCATCATCATCATCATCAGCATCATCATCATCATCATCATCATTATCATCATCATCAGCAGCATCATCATCATCATCATCATCATCATCATCATCATCATCATCATCATCATCATCATCATCATCATCATCATCATCATCGTCGTCAGCATCAGCATCAGCATCAGCATCAGCATCAGCATCATCAGAATCATCATCATCGTCATCATCTGCAGCAGCAGCAGCATCAGCATCATCATCATCATCAGCATCAGCATCTGCATCATCATCATCAGCATGGTCATCATCAGCATCATCGTAATCAGTATAAGCATCATCATCATCAGCAGCAGTATCATCATCATGATCATCAGCATCATCATCACCCACAGCAACAACAACTCATCATCATCATCGTCCTCGACGTCGTCGTCATCGCAATCGTCGTCGTCATCATCGTCATCAGCATCGTCATCATCATCGTCATTTAACAGCATCATCACCATCACCACAATCCCACCGCCAAACCCAACACCACAACCACAACCACCACCAAAATCAGCATCATAATCATCATAAGAATCATCATCATCATCATCATCATCATCATCATCATCATCATCACCATCATCATCATCATCATCATCACCATCATCACCCTCCTCCTCATCATCATCCTCATCATCCATCAGCATCATCATCGTGATCATCGTCAGCAGCAGAATCGTCATCATCATCATCAGCAGCAGCATCTGCATCATCATCATCAGCAGAATCATCATCACAATTATCATCATAAGCAGCAGCATCACCACCATCATCACCACCATCATCATCGTCTTCATCGTCATCCGGTCATCATCACGAGCATCATCATCACCATTAGCATCATCGTCAGCAGCAGCATCATACTCATCATCATCACAACCATCGCCACCACCACCACCACCATCATCACCACCATTATCATCATCACCATCATCATCATCATCATCATCATCATCATCATCATCTTCATCAACATCATCATCGACATCAGCATCTTCATCATCATCAACATCATCAGCATCACTATCAACAAGAACACAATCATTACCAGCATCATCGTCATCAGCATCAGCATAGCATCAACATCATCATCATCACCATCAACATCGTCATCATCATCATCATCAGAATCAGCATTAGCATCAGCATCAGTATCAGCATCAGCATCAGCATCATCGACCGCATCATCAACCTCATCCTCAACATTATCACCAGCATCCGCATCACCGTCGTTATCATCATCAGCAGCATCAGCATCGTCATCCTCATCCTCCATATTAGCATCATCCTTATCATCACCATCATCATCGCCATCATCGTCATCATCATCAACAAGATCATCATCATCGTCATCATCATATCACCTTTATCAACATTCTCAGTCTCCCTGTCCTTCTCATCCACGTCCTCATCCCCACGCATCCCTCCTCATCCTTCACCCAATGCCCCCACGGCACGCAAGATACTGCTGCGCTGGCTGGCAAGGCTGGCTCCCGTGGCTGCTTCAGGGCCTCCCCACCCGTCTCACCCCGCCAGAACCACACCGAACGGCGTGGGCTCACCGGGCGACGCGACGCCACCCTGGCGGTCTCCGACGACTCCGCACGGCCGAGATGGACTCCAATGGGAAAGGCATGCTACTGGGACCGGGCCACCGTAGGAAGGGACCGACTGCAATGGTCACAACTGGGGTAGAGAAGGAGATGGGAAAAGATCTGCGAAAAGGAAAAAGGGGAGCCGACCGCTGGCATACTCGCATGTGCGGTGGTATGGCTTGCAGTACGACGGTGGCACAGCGAGTTGAACAATCTGCGGTGGACAAGACACGCGGTATTCACATGTGCCTGCACAAGCAGTAGTTTTGGTACAGATGTGTCACGAGCTGTAGTGTGCAGTGGCATATCCTGAGATGAAGTGCTGACTACTTCTGGGTTAAAGCGGGTGGGCTCCTCCGCCCCTCGTCCTAATAGATGACCCCTCGTCAGCACGCCACCCGATGTGTCGGGCAGGCAGGGCGTTTCGCCTAAGACGTCCTCACCGCTTCTGATCCTGACTCTTGCAACTCCCAACAGCTACATGGATGGAGGGCGAGTGGCTCTCAAGACGTGTGCTCGCCTCGGCGTCGCCCGCAATTGTCTTATAGTTACCCGCTTTGCCCCACAAGCCGTACATTCCCGCACTGCGGGCCCTGGGCCCACTGGCCGTGAAGGGGAAGAGCACGCGGAGCAAGGCCAGCAGTCTCTCGAGCGGGGGGAAGCAGGGAGGGACCGAAGGAGGGAGAGGAGGGAGCGAGGGAGGAAAGGGAGGAACAAAGGGGGAGGAGGAGGAGGAAGGGATTGACGGGGCGAGGAGGAGGAGGAGAAACAAGAGGAAAATGAGGAAAAGGAGGAAAAGGAGGAAAAGGAGGAAGAGGAAGAGGAGGAGGAGGAGGAAAAGGAGAAGAATGAGGAAGGAGGATCGGGGGAGGAACGATTCCCAAACGACTTCTTGTGGTTGCACGAGCGCGGCGAGCCCCAAGCAGGCGGGCGGTGCGCGCCAGGCGCGCGGCCATTTCCATCTCCAAGGCGTGTCGCTCCTCGAGGGGGGCCAGGACCCCATGCCTCCCCCGGCCCCCGTCCCCCTCGTTCCTCGTCCTCCTCCTCCTCATCCGCCTCCACCTCCGAATCCGCCTCCCCTTCCTTCTTTTCCTCCTCCTCCTCCTCATCTTCCTCCTCCTCTTCCTCCTTTTCCTCCTCCTCCTCCTCTTCCCCTCTTCCTCATCCTCCTCCTCCTCCTTGTGGCAGCAGGAGAGGGGACAGAATGTTTTCCCTTGAGCCACATGAGGCACGGACACGTACAAAACGGATCTCTGTCCATCGGTCCCCAGAGTGAAACACCAAAAGCTAAACCTATACGTGAGATTATGGACCCCTGGAACATGGGTCCAACTTTCTCTAGGTTTAGCTGTCCCAAAACTCAATTCGCCGGTCCGTGGCCACTGCCTGGCAGTGTCAAAACGACCTGCAAATGTCGAACTTGCGCAGCAGCAGAAAGATAGAGAGAGAGAGAGAGAGAGAGAGAGAGAGAGGCAGAACTAGAGAGCAGATTATTGGAAAACAGATTCGGAGGATGATAAAGGCGGAGGGAGAGAGGAGGAGGACGGGAGGACACCACCACCACCAACCAGGCCAGGAGGAGCCCTCTGGTCCAGGTAGTCGAGCCATGCTATCCAGGCGGGCTCTGACAGCATTCTTCTGGAGGCTGCCTGAGAGCGGTCTTTGCGCTCGGGCATGTCCTTCCGGCGGCCGACCTCTTGGGCCTCGCCCACCAGACTGAGCTTGCCGTTGGTCATCAAATCAAACAGCGCGGCATTACACTTAGTCACGTCGTCCTTGGTCAAAGCGTCCACAGGCATACGGCCATGGGGTATCCACCGTATCTTACCTCTGGCTCGCTCCAAGGACTCGCAAATGATGGCGAGGTCTAGAGCAGTACGCCTATCACGGGCCGAAGCGTTGCCTTCCTTCTGGAAGGTATCATAGATTGACTTGGCGTCCACCACGTGGACCTGTTGTTCCCGGGAACCCAAGCTACAATCGCGTCTTAAGACCGTAGTGAAGGGCCCTGAGGCCCGCACACAATCAGGCAGATCAACGTCCTTGAACACAACATCACGGTACAACACTTGAAGAAACTCGACTTCCGCCACAGCGGCCGACAGAGCTTGAGTCTCCCCGGCTAGCGTCGAAGGCACCTTACGCCGTAGCTTACTGCTACGCCAACCGAGCACGGACGCTCTTACCACCTGATTATCGAGAACAGACTTCTCGGCGGCCAACACCATCCAGGCTCCCTGGGTGGGGTCGGCTGGGAGGCCACTGTCATCCTGGAGAGACTCTACCGAACCAACACCGCCGGCATCGGAAAACGATATGAAAGACATACGCTCAGGGTCTAGCTGCCAGATCGTCAATCCTCGAGAGGCTGTTGCCCTCAGGTGCTTCACCAACTTGTTGGCACAAGACACGTCCGACACTGTCGGAGCTCGCAAACGACTGGCCAAAATACTTGCTACTCCGGCCGCTTCTGGCCGTGACTCTCGGCCGACCCAATTAAACTTGTAGACCAGAGAACGCAAAGCTTTAAACTCGGACGGCTCGAGAGGGGAATTCTTGACAGACAAGCGGCCCCGGGCCAGGGTCAGAGGACGGATTTCTTCCAGGATGTACTTTTCCTGGTCGACAACGGCCTTGCCGGGAAAGAAGGAAACACGCCTACCCGCAAAATCCACTGAGCCGGCATGACAGTCTCGATACTTCCCGAAACGGAAGCGGTCCTCTAGGATACCGCGAATCCACGCTCGGGCATCCGCATCCGCACTCCCGATGAAGAAATCGTCGACTTCCAGCAACATCATGTTCTGGATGGCCCCATCTGCTCGATACTTCAGCCACCAGCAGGGCTCCAGCAAACTTCTTTCGAACCCATGCTTTTCCAGATGGCCAACCACGGTGCGACGCCACGCTACTGGAGCACCGTCCAGCCCGTAAACGTTCACCAGCAATAGGATAAAGGATCCAGGCTCAACGTCGATACCCTCGCAAGGTTCAACATATATTTGGCCCTGGGACCGCGTCATCGGATCTGACTGGGTGAAAGCGTTCTTGACATCCGCAATGTCTCCGAGCATCCTGAAATTGACCAGTACCTGAATGAACATCATAATAGACGAGGTCTGGGGAGTGGGCGCATATACGGCGAGGGAGCCAGAGTCGGGATCCTTATGACCGTGCACGCACCACCTGGACTTCGCTTCGGGTTCCACGAAAGTCCCCTCAACTGGCTTCCATCGGCGCACCATTCGGCTGGATATGATCCTGCCCGGACAACGTTGCCGGATCTTCGCCGCCTGATTCGGAGGGATGACTCGGACACCCCCGGATTGCAGCATGGCCTTCCATTCTTTGTCGTCTGAAGCCTGAAATTTCTGACGCTCCTGAGGGGCGAGCCTCTTGAGGGTCACTTCTCCCCCGCGGCTAGCCGCAAAGGTTCCCCCGTCCTGAATGCTTTCGCCCACGGCCCCGACAAACCCTTCGACGTTCCCAGGGACGACGGAGAGCCCGTCAATCGGCCCCGGGACCACGAAAAACTCGCTGGTGGCCTCTGCCTCGACTGTTCCCTCGGCTCCTCTGTTGCGATTTGGCGACCGTGACCTGGCTCGGGCTTCGATGGCCTGAACACGCTCCTGGACAGACTGCTTCGGCTCGTCGCCGGCCCTGACAGGCCCCCGAGTCTCCGGTCCAGGCCCAGGGCCCCCAACACCGGAGGAGGAGGAGGCAATTCCACCGACGGGGTAAGGAGGGTAGGGGCCCGAGGAGGGTTCGGCCCTGGCTCTCTTTATCTCAGGAGGGGCGCTCCCGGCCCTCGCAGCTCGAATGCAAGCTGGGACGTCCTCAGGCTGGGTGAGGCGCCCCCTCGTCTTAGGTCTCGCCCCCTCTGGTGAAGACGGGGTGACAGGGGAAAGAGAACTGGGAGACGCAGGCAAAGGAGGAGGAGCAGGAGCAGGTAAGGAAACAGGACGAGGAGAGGACGGAGGAGGGAGGAGTTCTGGACTCTCTTGATCCCCCGGCTCGACCTCGGCGGATCCTGAGCTAACTCCTCGAGACAACTGCCGACTGAGAGACGGCGTCGCCGACTCTTCTCTGTCTGAAGGAGCCAGCTCGGAAATAGAGGGCAGCCCGGTCCTGTCCGAGCCTGGTTGAGCTACAACCGATCCGGCACGAGAGAGAGACCCCCTGGGGGGCCTCCGAGGAAGCCCAGGAGTCCCGCCCACTGACGGGGGAGAGGGTCGATTCTCCGGTCCTTGTTCCTCGGCTGGCACTGGCCCAGCTCCGGGAACCCTTGGTTCTGAGTCGAGCTCGGCCTGTGCCGCCTCGTCCCAGGCACTCTCGGGAGGGGGGCCCTCGCGCTGAACGTCCACAGCGGTCACCCGCCTCGCCTGAGCCGAACGGAGCAGCTCCTGCCATCTAGGGTCTTCGGCCAATTGAAGGCCGTACTCTTCCTCAGGGCTAGCAAGCCTGACTTGCTCGGCTGAACATTTCCAGAGACGGGCCCGGACCGCAACCCACACCGTGCCGCCCTCGGCAAGCACCACGACCCCGGGACCCGTCCAGCCGGCACGACGGCGCCCCAGGGCGTCGGCCCTGGACGATATTCTGGTGAAATGCCTCCAGACGAAGACCCACTGGCCGGGGGTAAATCTCTTGGTCCCAGGGGTCCTCGCCCGGGCTGCTCGGGACAGCTTGTCTCGGGCCGTGGCTTCCATGGCAAGCCTACGGGCCGCCGCTCGGATAGCGTGGGCCCTGGCAAACTCGGCTCCCGCCTCGCCCTGCTCTGAGGAGGGGCTCACGACATCCTGCCACCCAGGCAAAGCCCGTCGATCGTCGGACAAGAGCTCACGCGGAAGACGCGGGTTTTCTCCAAAAACCAACTGGAGAGGTGAAAAGCCACCTCGATGCCAAAATCGGTTCTTATGCGCCACCAACTCAAACACCAGATCGTCCAGCTCCTGGAGTGATGAGGGAAGGGACGTCCCGGACTCTAGCTCAATACGGACTCGGTCCTTGACCCAGCCACCGTGTCTCTCCACTCGTCCGTTCTGCCAGGGACTGTCCGCGTCGCAGACATGATGACAAACTCCCCACTGTTCCAAGCCTCGGGCGAACCGAGCTCCAAACTCCGAGCCCCCATCCGAGATGATCAGATGAGGCGCACCCAACGGTCGGACCCAGGACCTCAGAAACTCGGACCAGACAGCGGCCGACGTCGCGGCCTCGACCCGGGTGACGACCTGCAGGTTCGACCCGTGGTCGACGATGTTGAGATAGGGATACGTCGTACCTTGAAAGTCGAGGTAGAAGAGATCAACCCCCACGATGTGATTAAAACGAAAGGTCCTGGGCAGAGCAACCCGACGATGGGCCCCCGACTGCGATCGTTCCGCACATTCCGAACAAACAAAATGTTGACGCACCCATCTCACCAAGTGCTGTTTGGTGCCGCCAGCTCGAAGAACCCGAAGAAATTTTCGGTTGTCGGGATGGCCCATGTTGCAGTGCAACTTGTATATTAACCGTTTCTCGTCCTCAATAGGCTGAGGATCGGGCTTCCCGGACACATCTCCCCTCGTTCTGTTCTGAGTGGGTGGTCGGGTCTCGGGCTCGTCGTCGCTTTCGTCCGAACCTTCGGGCTCGCCTTCGCCGCCAATTGCTTCCCCGGCCTCCGCAGCCTCGCCGGAGACTCCTTCCACCAACTCCGCCCAGGAAGACTGCCTGGCCCTGGAAGCTCCGGACCAATGTTCGGCGACAGCCCTGGCGACAGTGCACACGAACAAAGGGGGGTAACATGCCGCTTTGGTAGTAACCGAGCCTCCTTCCAGAACAGCGTGCTTGTGTTCCCCCGTGCAGAGGTGACCGTCTAAAAGCCGCAACACCTCGGGGTGGTTGGACAAAATTCCCGTGGGTTTCTTATTAGGCCCCCTGTCGTCCACCCTCATTCCAAACTGGCACATGTCGAGCCGGATTCGTCGAACTCCCG